ATTATTTATTTGGAAATTACTTCTTCATAGAGTATGGTGAAATAATTTATTATTTGGCCACCTAAGGAGCTTTCTAACTTGACTTCCTTTTTTATCAAGACTTGAATATAATGTCAAGTTTTTTTTGGTTGATTTTGAGCATTACCTTCGCAACAGAAGTACATCTGTCAGCGACAATCATTCTTAACCTCTCCCAGTGCCAGTAGGTCCGTTCAAGTTACGTGATGAAAACCAGTTTTCTGGACTATGTCATATATGACATGTCGCCCAAATTTCGGTCTCTGCATTTTTGATGAATCCAGCCGTCTTTTGTAAAGTCTCTACTGGCAAGTTTCTTTTTTAAGTTTTGTTTTGTTATTTTTAAAACTGGTGGCCTCAGACAAGCTTATTACGCCGCTTCTCACCACTGGATAGCCGTTGTTACGCGCGGCGCCTGGGCCGATGGGGGAGAGAGGCGTTCTTTGTTCATCAAACAAGTCACCAAAGGGCTGCCAGCCTGCTGTCCGCCGTGTTTTGTCCATCTTAGCCGGGAAGTGAGGTGGCAGTCCGACACCATAAGACGTTCGACGAGACGACCAGAATGGTTTCTTGGCGTCACAGGTGCAGTGTGGTGACCACGCCCCAATCAAAGATGTTGACTTGAGCGAGTGTTAGCGGCACTGCCAGAAATGGTGCGTGTGTCCCGTGATTCAACAGCGCATTCTGGACCCAATACCTGATTTTGTCAAAACGCACACTTTATGATGAGCCACCCAGCTCATTCGCAAGAGATCTCTCACCCTGTCTGTAAAGAATGTAATTAATCCTCTGTTAAGTTTGCCATATCCTACTCCTGAGTGCACATGCGTTTTCTTTTCTGTCTCTGTACACCCCCTTTCTTGCCCCTATTTCTCCACCCCCAGTGCTGGGCAGCAAACCGGATGCCAAGATCTGGTTGGTCCCCCAGCCTTCCTTTCTCTCTCTTGCCATCTTACTGCCTTGGCATCTTCACCCCGGATATCTGATGCCTGAAAAGGCCGGTACCAACGGAGGTTAAAGAATAAAAAAGATAATGAATATTTTCTGCAGCATGTTGAGACGCTGCATATGAGTGGTCATCCTCGAAAATCATCAACTTTAACACCACGGACAGGTGATGATATACCCTGAGTAGGTTCGAGCATGTATTATGCCTCGACGCTTTTAATCTTCATTAAACTTTTCCATTTCGATTTCATCCTTCGGGGCTTTATGTAGTTCTTCATCTAACACGCTGAATTCGTGCTGCACTGCTACCACTTCATTTCTTCTGTATATACGAACTGTTTCGGGCACAATTATAGGCTGCCATCTTGGACTGATAATGATGCCGTTTTGCATCCGTATGAATATTCGAATAGTGCTATGTTGGACTCGCACGCATCAAAACGCTCGGCCATTACATTCAACGTCGTATGACCATAATCATAGCTAATTACGACACAAAAAACATCGAAAATTGCTTTTAAGCCCAAGATGGCAGTGCCTATGTTTTACTCTAACTGTTACATTTATTTTTTGTCAATTTGTCCAATATGTCATTTCATGAAGCGGCCGCCGAACTTGTGCCGCTGTTCATAGTGGTACTCTCGGTCTCCGAAGCTGGATGAAGATAACTAAGAAGCCTGATTTTTACTGGCTACATAAAATGTGAAACGAAGCTATGAATCAAAATGAAAAAGAAGACAAATCTGTGAAAAGTCAGTATTGGCGCATAAATGGCGCGCCGATGAAAAACGTCGGCGGCGGCAGCATAGCGAAAACTCTCGGCGGCGGCGCGCCGACCAGTCGGCGCACACATCTAGGAATGATGCGTAGTACACACATTTGCCTAGTCTTCGTACTTGCGGGCAGCAAATCGTACTTGCGGCTTCGTTTATTGCTGGTTACGGTTTTGTTTTGAAAGAAAGGACGAACCCTTTTGAACTAATGACTTGATTCAAAATGGTAAGCCTAAAAGAATAAGGTTGTGAAGCGCAAACAGTGAACATTTGTTAATTTATGTTTTCGTGAAAAAGCAGCTCCAAGCCACACGAACACACACGGAGCCAGAAGCAGGCCAGAAGTACGAAAGTTAGACAAATGTGTGTACTACCTATCATTCCCATGCTCGCTGAAGCGCCGTGTGTTGCAGCTTCCATAGACACTAGCGCCAGAGTTCCCTCTAGTAAATATTGTGGGAAACTCTATGCGGAGACCCTTATTACTACGTAGGTAGCGCTGCCATATAAGACGGGCTAAGTTTGGAAGCTAAGTTTTGGAAGAGCAGTGAAAGTGGGAGGGAGACAAGATGAGCAACTACAGAAAATTTTTTATCCAGAAAGGCAAATTGAAATAGCCACTAAACAAATTGAGAAAGTAATTACGGAGGATAATAAGACAGTGTGGACATACACGAATCTAATTAGACTCTTTGAGCTAGAGCTTGCTAAGACGCGTGACAAGTCACCCCGGAAAAGAAGACGCAAACCCAAAAGTTGGTGGGATGAGGAAGTTAAGAGAGCCATAGCAAAACGTCAGGAAGCCTCTAGGGAACACTGACATGCTAAGCAGCGGGGTGAACCGAAAGATGATGTTGAAAGAAAATGGGAAACCTTTCTAAGCTGTAGAAGGGATGCATCCCTTCTGATCAATGAAAAGATTAGAAGAAAGGGAGCTCAGTGGTAGGCAGAAGTACATGAAAAAGACAGAAAGGCAGCTGCGAAATTTTGGAACCATCTAAACTCCCTAAGAAATGAGACAAGACTTGAGCAGAGTTTTATAACTACAGCCCAAGGTGCAAGGCTAGAAGGGGACAAAGCTATTGAATATATAAGAACAAGGGCGACAGAAAATTTTCAACAAAGAAGTAATTTATGCACCACAATAGACAAGGACGAATCAAGTGGTGCAATGGCTCCATTTTCACAACGAGAGTGGGAAAGGGCTGAGAAAAGGGTTCCTAGTAGTACATCAACAGGCCCAGATGGCATTCCAAATATGATGATAAAGATATTAGGTCCGAAGTCTAAGCAGGCTTTGAGAGAGGAAGGGAGCAAAGCAATAATCGATGGTGAAGTTCCCGATGGATGGAAACTTAGCAGGATGAGCATGATCTATAAAGAAAAGGGGGACAAAGCTGACATATACAACTACCGTCTTATAACAGTGACATAAGTGGTCTGCAGATTATAAAGGAAAGATGATGCAGTGCAATGCAGATTATAATCTGCAGTGCGATGCAGATTATAAAGGAAAGACTGCAGGCATGGATAGAGGATGAGGGGGTGCTGGGGGAACTGCAGAATGGGTTTCGGAAACACACGAGGTTGGAAGACAATCTGTTCTCACTGACGCAGTGCATCGAGATAGCAGAAAAGGAACACAGGCCCCTGTGGTTAGCATTTTTGGATATCAAGGGAGCGTACGATAGCATGGTTCAAGAGGAATTGTGGGGAATACTGGACACACTAGGCGTGGAACATGTAGTCACTAATCGTTTAAAGGATATCTATAAGGGTAACAAGGTGTCACGAGGCTAGTCAACCCACAAGCTCTCGTGTAGGTTCTTGTGCATACAAACCGATGAGAAAACCCACATCGGTAAGGAGAACACGAGACCGTTTATGCACACAAGAAAAACAACTAAATGTATTTTCAATAAACTAGATAAAGAGAAAGAAATAAGAGGAAAAACAAACAAAGCCCACAAATTCGAGGAGAAATTAACCTAATGACCGCGAAATGCTAAGGATGCGTAAGTTCCGCAATAGCAAAAGCGACTGTCACCGTTCGGTTGCGGCACTCTTTTAGACGGCGAGGGTGGATGCGATGGGGTGCAGACAAGGTAGATCAGAGGTCCAAGCGTTGCTCGGGTTGAAGGTAGCTCCAGGCGCACCAAGGTCAGTAACCTCTCAGCGTTCGTCCTCCGACGCTGGGACGTAGCCCTGGAAACGGGACGAGCCTGGCCAAAGCCAGATGGTGAGAAGCCTGGCCAACGCCAAACGACGAGCAGCCTGGCCAACGCCAGACGACGAGCGGCCTGGCCAACGCCAGACGACGAGCGGCCTGGCCAACGCCAGACGATAGATGATGCTCGGGTGCCCGACCAGGTGGGAGCCCGCAGCAGCCTTGCCTCAGGAACTCGGCCGCCACCCCCGCGCCCTGGTAGCCTGCTTGCCTCCGTCGCGTCCCGGCCACGTCTGCCCCGTTCTTCGTTCGGGCTTCTTCCAAACCAGCGTGGGGGCCTCTCATTCGTCCGAACTTCACGCGCCTCGTCTGCCCATCATCTTCCTCACCGAATACATCGCGAAAGCGCGCGTCCACACCATCGGTCGTCGTCGTATTCTTTCCTATGCCGGTGCACTCGCGCACATTTTAAACCGAACACTGGTTGCACTCGTGCACTTCACGAAACGCGCACTTCACTTATCACACAAGGTAGTTATAAAGTGGGAAAAACAGGTATCCAAGCCTGCAGAGGTAAAACGGGGGCTTAGGCAGGGGTGCCACCTGTCACCCTTATTATTCATGATCTACCTACAAGGATTAGAGGCAAAATTAGAGGGAAGTGGGCTGGGCTTCAACCTCTCTTTAGTCAAACAAGGAAAACTTATTGATCAGGCACTACCAGCATTAATGTACGCAGATGATATAGTGCTAATGGCCAACAACAAGGAAGATTTGCAGAGATTGATGGACATCTGCGGTAATGAGGGAGATAGGTTAGATTTTAGATTCAGTAAGGAAAAATCAGCAGTCATGATTTTCAATGACAACGAAGGTAGTGAGCTTAGTGTAGTATCGTAAGGGCGAAGAATTAGACGATGCATGGCCAGAACAAGAAGGAACAATGTTTATTCACGAGGCTGCTGTCTTGGTTTTAATACCCTGGCCCGAGGCCGGAGCCTGCGCCGTGGCGAGGGGTGGAGGCACGTGTTATCGGTATGTTATTCGGCGCGTGCACCTGATAATCTACGATATATCACTTCCTCCCCTCTGAGCTAAAACCTATCCGGCGGCTTGCGGGCACGGGTGGAGCGTCGGAATGGGAGTGGTTCTGCCGTGGACCTTGGACTTGCTGGCTCGATGCCACCGCCAGACGCTTCCTCACCAGGCTCGGACAGACCGGCCTGAAGGGCTTCGCTGCTAGTTGACTGGATGCCGCTGGATGAGAGTGGCAATTGCTCCATGGCCATTGGCGTTTCGCACGGTTCTTTCTTAACCGGTGTCGACGAGTCGCGTGGTCGTACTTGATCGACGTGTCTACGTTGCACCCCCCTTGGCGTGTTAACGGTTAACAATCGCTTGCCTTCGACTGTCGTCACGGTTCCGGGTAGCCACCTTTGACCTAGCTGACTGTACTGTCGACTCCACACCTCCCTTCCTGGTGCAAACTCTTTCTTTCCAGAGTTCGGAACTCCGTTGACGGTAGCCTCCCTCTTCGCCCCATCTCCCTCTGCCAGGTAGGTGCTCAGGCGGGTCCGTGGTTGGAATCCAAAAAGCCTTTCCGCGGGCGACTGCTCCTCTCGGGTCGGTGTTGTCCTGTAACGCAACAAAAATTTGGCAAGCCGACTTTGCAGCGTTCCCACCCGATTTTTCTTCAGGCCCTCCTTGATGGTTTGATGGTACGTACTGCCCGTTCCGCCAAACCGTTGGATTGCGGGTAGTATGGGGCCGTCGTTACGTGGCGCACCCCATTTCCCGGAAGAACCGCGCTGTCTCTGCACTGGTGAATTGCGGACCATTATCCGACACGACAGTCCGTGGTATGCCAAATCGCGCGAAAACGCACCTAAGTGTGTCTACCGTAGTCGCTGCTGTCGCCGTCTTCAAGGGCACTGCTTCGATCCACTTAGTCTCGGCGTCGACGAGGACGAAGATCATATGCCCTTCCACGGGACCAGCAAAATCCACGTGTAGGCGGTACCACCGTCTGTTGTTCTTTGGCCAGTTTGCCGGGACCTGCGCTGGGGGCATGGGCAAACACTGCACGCATTGGGGACACCGTTTTGCAAGCATTTCAATTTCACCGTCTAGCCCTGGGTACCAGAAAATTGAGCGCGCGAGGTTCTTCATTGCCGTCATGCCTGGGTGCGTATCGTGCAACTCTTTCAAAACAAATTGCCGGGCAGCTTTAGGCAGAACCACACGGTGGCCCCAGTAGAGTATCCCGTTACTCACGGCCAATTCATGCCTCCGTGCAAAATACGGTTGGTACTGCTGTTCCTCTGAACCGAGACGCCTTGGCCAGCCTTGCAAGATCCAAGTCTTCACTTGCTGAAGTACGTCATCTTTGCTGGTGTGGTCTGAAATACTCTGCGCAGACAAAACAAAATCATCCATAGCCTGCGCATGCAGGACATATTCGGCTAGTTCATTTTCCCAGCCATTATCGCGAACCGGTAATGGCAACCGGCTTAGAGCGTCGGCATTTGCATTTAGCTCTCCTTTTCTGTATTCCAAGTCGTATTGATAAGCTGCTAAGAGCAGCGCCCAACGTTGAATGCGGGCCGCTGCCATTTGCGGAATGGGTTTATCTGGACCTAGCAAACCAGTCAGAGGCTTGTGATCGGTCACCAGAGTGAACTTGTTGCCAAACAAATAATCTCGAAATTTTACAACGCCGAAGACCAGCGCTAGTGCCTCCTTTTCCAATTGTGAATAATTACGTTCCGCCGACGTTAGAGTTCTCGAGCGGAACGCTATGGGATGATCCACTCCTTGTATGCGGTGCGACAAAACTGCGCCTATACCCTCGGCCGACGCATCACACTCAAGCCGCAAGGGTCTTTGGGGGTCGTAATGCACAAGAAAGTTCGCCCTTCTCATGGCGCGCTTGGTTTCTTGGAATGCTGTTCTCTGTGCGGGCCCCCAACACCACAGTGCTCCTTTAGACAAGAGTCGGTGTAACGGGGCCAAAGTGGACGACAAGTTCGGTAGAAATTTGGAATAGTATGTGACCAGTCCTAAGAATGATTTAAGCTGGCTTACCGAAGTCGGTGGCGGTGCCGCTAGCACTGCTTCCAAATTGTCCTGCAGTGGGTGGAGGCCTTTTGCATCGATTAGGTGCCCTAGAAATACCACTTCTTTCTCCCGGAAGTGGCACTTCTCCTTGTTCAGTGTTAGGCCGTTCGCCCGAAGTCGTTCGAACACTTGCCGCAGTATCGTTGTGTCATACTCTTTTTCTGCTACAATAATGTCGTCCAGGTAAACTTTCACCCCTGGTATACCCTGCAGCACGGCTTCTATGCGCCGCTGAAACAGCGCAGGCGCTGAGGCAATGCCAAAAGCCAAGCGGTTGTAGCAGAAGAGACCTTTGTGTGTATTCAACACAGTTATCTTCTTAGCATCATCATCCAGGGGAAGCTGGTTGTATGCGTTTCGTAAGTCGAGTGTGCTGAACACTTCGTTTCCTGATAGCGCCGCAAAGATGTCGTCAATTTTCGGAAGCAGGTGCTGCTCTGTTCTTGTCGCTGGATTAACTGTTAGCTTAAAGTCCCCACACAGCCGGATGTCTCCGTTCTTCTTTACTACGGGCACGACCGGTGTTGCCCATTCAGCCACGCTCACTGGGGACAGCACGCCCACTGCCACCAGTCGGTCAATTTCGGCGGAGGCTTGCGCTCTCATGGCATACGGGACTGTCCGAGCCTTCAGAAATCGAGGTTGCGCACTTTCCTTGAGGTACAGCTTCACCGGTGGTCCCTTACAGCATCCGAGTTTCTCAAAGAGGTCCGGAAACTCGTCAAGAAGTGCGGTTAGCTGGCTGTCGGCGTGAACAACATTCACCGAAGACGACGTGCCTTCTACTAGCAACATGCCTGCTTTGCGAAATTCCTCTATCGTGTCCCTTCCGCACAAAAGGGGCCCTCGATGGTCCACTACTATCAGCGAACTGCTCACCGTTACTGGTCCAAGCTGTACCTGCATGTCTACCTTGCCAACGACCGGCAACGGTCCCAGGAAACATGAAAGGCGTAGTGGAGTTTTTTGCAGAGCCGGCCACCACTTGCGATGCTTCTTGTACAAGCTTTTGGGAATCACGCTTACTGGTGATCCAGTATCGACAATCATTCGCAGCCTACGGCCTTCCCACGTTAAGGTGCGCTCGATTGGCTGCACCAAGTGCTTATTGGCGGAACTGTGTGCAACGAGAACATACAACCTCTCTTCACTTTCACATTCGGTTCCGTCGACAGCGAACGTTCCTGACCTGGGGGTGTGGGGTCTTTTGCAAGCCCTAGCAAGATGCCCTCTTTTACCACATTGATGGCAGATGGATCTGCGATGTCGACAGGACGCCGTTGCATGCGCCCCTTTGCATCTGTCGCATGAAAGGCTGCAATTCTTCCTCCACTGTCTGCCTTGTTGCTGTATCACGTTGACGCCGCCACCTTCGGTCCGGGCGTATGAAGTACGCATGCCCCGAGCGTCTTCGTTCGCTTTCCCAGAAGCTAAGGCGAATTCTTCAGCTTCTTCACGAGTCAAGTTCTTGCGGCCCAGCAGGCACCGGCGCGTTTCCTCATCCCGAATCCCACAAACGATTCGTTCCCGCAACATACGGTCCAGTGTCGCCCCGAAATTACAATTTACGGCCAGTCTTCTCAGTTCAGCAATGTAGTCCCGGACGCTTTCTTGCTCATCTTGTTTTCGCATAAAGAAAGAATAGCTTGCTGCTATTTCGTTTGCCTGAGGGTTGAAATGTTCTTCCAAGCATTTCACAACGTCATCGTACGTCAAGGAGTTGATGGCGACCCCCGGCTGGTGCCCTTGCAATATACGGACGACACTGTCGCTCAACGATGAAACCAGTAGGGCCCGGCGTTTCGCTACGTCGGTAATATCGTTGCCCTCAAAGTAGGCTTCCAACCGGACACGATACGTGCTCCAGCTACTCACGGCGTCGTCGAAGGCAGGGGGTCGGGATCCCATTCTTCTGGTCTCAGCGTCGGAGTGCAATTAACCGGACCCCATCCTCGTCGCCACTGTAGTATCGTAAGGGCGAAGAATTAGACGATGCATGGCCAGAACAAGAAGGAACAATGTTTATTCACGAGGCTCCTGTCTTGGTTTTAATACCCTGGCCCGAGGCCGGAGCATGCGCCGTGGCGAGGGGTGGAGGCACGTGTTATCGATATGTTCTTCGGCGCGTGCACCTGATAATCTACGATATATCACTTAGGATACAGGACGTCACGCTAGAGATAACAGATAAATACAAATATCTGGGCGTATGGATAAGCAATGGGACCGAGTACCTGAGGGAACACGAAATATACGTGACGACTAAAGGTAACAGGAATGCAGCAGTGATGAAAAATAGGGCACTGTGGAATTACAATAGGTATGATGTGAGAGGAATATGGAAAGGGGTCATGATCCCTGGTCTCATGCTCGGCAATGCGGTCTTGTGCTTAAGAGCAGAAGTACAAGCAAGATTAGAAATTAAGCAACGTGGAATCGGCAGGCTTGCTTTAGTAGCTTACGGAAATACACCAAATCAGAGAGTACAAGGTGATATGGGATGGACATCATTTGAGGGCAGGGAAGCTAGCAGCAAGATAAAATTTGAGAAGCGATTGAGAGAAATGGGGGGGAAGAGTGTTAGGCTAGGAAGGTATTCAGCTACTTGTAAATGAAGAATGTCGGTACAAAACGGAGAAAGCGAACCAGGAAGTTGACTGGTAAATACTTTGAAAACAGCAGGTGGCCAAACCAAAAAGAACTATCGGTTAAGAAGAAAGTGAATGAAACGGAGACTGACATGTGGAAAATGGGCATGATTAAGAAGTCCGCACTAGAGATCTATCGAACTTTTAAGCAGGAAATTGCCAAGGAAAGGATCTATGATAATACTCGGGGTAGTTATCTACTGTTTGAGGCAAGGACGGGAGTACTGCGAACCAAGACATGTCGGGCCAAATACGAAGGGGTAGACACAGTATGCAGTGCGTGTGGAGATGAAGAAGAAACTGCCGAACACTTGATAATGTTCTGTAAAGGGCTTCACCCTATAGTTCAGGATGATGGTGCAGTGTTTTTCAAAGCATTGGGGTTTAGGGACCGGGAGGGCAAAATAGACTTTAAGCAAGTAGACTTAACTAGAAGGAGGTTATTTGATTGATGGCTAAAGTCAAGGCACGAGTGAAAATTAAACTCTTCACTGCAAAGTACAAATCCTCAAACTCACTTTTTAAGGAAAAATAAATAAATATAGTTTTGAGTTCATTAAGTATTACGGCTTGGTGGCGCTAGCCACCGCCCGATCTAAAGGGTACAGCCATATCCATCCATCCATCGGGTAGTGAGCGGCGCACTTCGCAGAGTTTTCCTCGGGTGCGCTGCTTTTTTTTTTTCCGAGGCGGTAGCTGCTTTATAAGTGCTTCGTCAATCGGTGACTGCGCTGCGTTACTCTGAAATGCCTGAAGGCGTCAACGAGAAAAAAAAAGTATATCCACCATCGCTGCATTACGCTTGTCCACAAAACTTGATGCTTCAGTTCAGCCTCTTGAAGAGTCCCAATGGTGGCAACGTGGATCACTTAGTGGAAGAGTTGCTCTGTCTGTAGAGAAAATTGCTGCATGAGATGAAATAAAATGAGGAAGACAACGAAAGACTTCCATCTGATGCACTAGCAGTGTCTATCGCCCATGAATCGTGCACCGCTGAGCGGTGGATGGTCGCCCTGTATATTATGGGGCAAGCTACGATGTGAGAAATCTGGTACTTCGTAATAATCGTGATGAGTGCAAAAACGCCCGCCTTGTTTCGCAAAGTTGGTGGTTACGTGTTATAAGTAACACCGTTGCTGGTGTAGCACGTTACTTCGGCAATTAGCATTTGACGCACTCATTATACATGTAGAAATGGAGCTGCTGCTTAAATTGTGTGAGTTGTAGTTGTAAGCAAGTCGTTCCTGCAACACGGTAGCGCTATTTATCAGTTATGTTTTGCAAAATAAAATTTGCTTCTGCTGATAGTACAGGTCGCGGAGCACTAAGCTTGCAGTACCTGGAAAAGCAAGGCTCACGTTTCCATAAATAGTTGTAATTTTAGCGGGCCCTGTGTAGGTTAAAGGGACAAAAATTATTTACACTGCAAATACCTACGATTATGGTCGGCTAGCAGATGCAAGCTGCCAGAATTACTGAAAATTTTTTAGGTCAGTGATCAAATTTTTGCGAAGAGCGTTGACGATGAAATAATATTTCGGCTTTCTGTAACATTGATAAATGAATTTAGCACGCGCCACGTTGTTATAAGCCGTATGCAACTCTCCGGTGCACATAAGGCCACTCTGTTCTACGTCTGGCATCTTGTGCAAAATTTGCTAGTTTAATTAACCTAAATTAGTTATAGTTGTTCTGGTCAGAGACTTCATTTCTTTTATTTCAATAGGTTGAGGAGCACGGAAATAAAAGCTCGAGGGATGGACAAAGTACCAATCCAGTCACAAGTTGGCAAAGCAGCAATACACGACAGACATTCATACATGCAGAATGTAAAATTAACTTTACAAGCATGAAATGACACCAAGTACGAAGACAAAAGTTATGAAACAAAGCTGCACAAATAGAGAGCGAGGGAATATATGTGTATCGTAACTTGGCATGAACATTAAAAGCAAAAATCGATAAGAAGAGTGATCAAAATTCCGGGAGATCTACTATTCGGCAAAGTGAATTAGCTCGGCGAAGCATCTAATGTGACGATTTTGATTATTTAAAATTACATATATCTACTGCGCTATAGTTGGAAATGAATCGTACGAAATAATTACACATAATATTATAATGAAGTGTCAGAAATCATCAGGATGAAAATTATACACTGATACACAGAGACATCACAGTAAAAGATACAATACAGTAATAAGAATCATTTAAAAATGCGCATGACAGCCAATCGTAGGGACGTTTTTTGCAATATTTAAATAGATTCATAGGAAGTTCTCAATGGCAGAAGAAAAGACAAAGTGTCAATGTCTTGATGGTTTAAGGTGGTTAATAGGTTAGGTAGCCTGTAGGACAATGTTCATCCTAAAAGCTTCTAGGAACAGGTAAAATCCACATATAATTCTTCGTGCCTAGTGAGACAAACACTTCGGTTTACTTTTATCTTAGCAAGATAAATTATGGTACTACAACCATGTTTAACGAATGCTTTATGACATGTCAGTTTTAAATACGAGGCCTGGGCACATTGATTCAAACATCTGATCTTGGAGTATAATCGATAAAGAACCACAGGTGGTCAAAATTTCCGGAGCCCTACACTACGGCGTCTCTCATAATCATATGGTGGTTTTAGGACGTTAAACTAAACATGTTGCTCCATGCATGCAAATTGAGATTCTAGGGGGCGACGCGCGTGTGTGCCTGACGAGGAAGACGAAGAGTGGTCTTCGTTCGGTGTCCCGTCTACCGGTCACGCCGCTGCTGCTGGTGGTTTGAAATATAATTCATCCACAACCTCGTCGATACGGCGTCTCTCTTCCATAACAATATCAAGGCCTTTTTCAAGAATCGTTTTCAGAGATGAGACTTTAAAGAGCTTAAATGCCACGTACTGCAATACACTTGCTCGATCAAAATGATTTTACCGAAAACGGGTCACCACCACACAGCGTGGGAGCATTTTTTGTGGAGAGCGGCGCGTGCTGTCTCGTTTGTCTCCTCCGCAATGTTACCCGCGCCGGTGCATCGAGTGCCCCAAGCGGCATCGGTGCACTTTGGGGACCGGTTTTGGCAGCCGCTTTTCACACCTCCCCATTCTAGCCACCCTAGATCGGGCGGCGGCTACACTATACACTCTACTATGGCTACCAAGTCGTACACATAGTGAACCAAAAATTTGATTTATTATTTTCTAAATAGTGAAGTGGAGGACCGGTACTTTGCAATGAAGGGTTTGATTTCCACTCGTGCCTT